TTTCGTCCACACCCTTGAAAAGGTAGGGTTCCTTGTTGCGAGGAAGCTGAAATTGCGTAACGATCTTCTTGCCGAAACACGAAGCACGGATGAAAACTGTGACTTCGCCTACATGTTGTCCTGTCGCTGTAGTAATTTTAAAAGCGTTCTTCATCGTTCTGCACGGATTACTGTGCTGAGAAATATACATGGTCAGCAGAGAGTTCATAAGGCCATGAAGTTGAATCTGGTGAGTGCCTGTGTCAAAGAATATATATATCTTTATTTGGATGAAATTTCAATTCCTTGATTCTAATGTAAGGATATTGAAGAAAAGTAATAAAGCGAAGCAAGTAAAAATTCACAGACCAATTAGCATCACGTCTGGCAAAACTCCTGGCGGTAGTTCTTTGTAAACGGACATTGTTATGGGAAAGTTGCACAATGGTTTCTGTAGGACATTGTCTGAAAGAGCAAATAAGCAGGATTTGCCCTTTTTAAAGACTTGCGATCCAGGCGTACAGGCACAAGCTTCTGTTGGCGTTTCTTGATAAATATTGATAGGGGGCAAGTTCAATAACTATAATTATTTTTACAATATTAGCGAATTAATAAACGAATTAATAAATATAAAGTTTTTACTTGAAATGAGACGCATGTTTTCGCCGGCAATATTTCGTCGTAGATCGCCCGTATTGTAAGAATATTCACTGTATCGACTAATAATTCTATCAAAATCAATAGTTCTCCTTCCATTAGTTTCTGTTTCTGCCATATATTTCTATATAAGAGATTGCAATGAATATAATAAATTATTTATATTATTTTTAAAATTTTTATTTTATGTTTACTTGTCTTTTTAATGAAAATTCAATAAATTGAATTTTCGTTAATTATAGAACATACTTTAGCAATTTTTATTTAATTATTGTTTGTGTTTACTCTAATTAATTTTGATGGTCATTGAGGATACAAAAAAATTTAGGTTGACAATTATACAATTATATAAGTTACTGAAGTAAATTACTAGTTCGAAGTTTTAAAGCTAAGTTCTCGATATTAGGAGAATATATATAATACGCAAGAGTAAAACAATTTATTTGATTTATTAAATTTATTTCAATTTATGTCATTTTCATCTTATTTATATCTACAATAATAATATTTTGTTTTTTTAACAATATTTAGTAAAAGAAAAAATCTAAATAATAAATAATAAAATAATTAAATAATAATAAAAAAATAATTAATTACATAATTAAATAAATAATTAAATAATAAAATTTAAATAAAGATTAAATAATAAAAAATAAAATTTAAAATAATAAAAAATTTAATTAATAGAAAAAATTAAAATCCAAAAAATTTAAATGTAAATGCATGTTTATTACACAACAGTTGTATCAACAAACAAATGTATTAAAATCAAAAATTGACAATAAGAAAAGATATCGCTACAAAATTAATTCCTTAGTATACTTAGAATATTATGCTTATAAGAACTTGATTCTTAAATTTAAATAAAGAAGCGTTTCATTTTTTCTTCTTATTCTTCTTATTCTTCTTATGTATGGCCTCCTTCGGTAGTCTTCTCTCTATGGCCTCTTCAGCGTCCTCCTCTGTCTGCATATCTCTGGTCTCATATCTAATTGGGGGCCTTCTTTCAAGTCCTTTCGGGGTCTTCATCTCTAGCTGTATATCAGATTTCTCGCCAACTCCAACGAGGCCCTTCTTACCGATTCTCAAGACAAAAATATCATGGTCAGGGTCAGATGGTTCGCCTGGTTTCTTTGCGGCAGATTCTGCGGCAACTGTTACTGTAGGTTTCTTTCCGCCAAGATTGTCATTGTCGAAGAGACCGGATACTTTAAGAATTATCGGCTTGCCGCAAGGCTGAGATGGATCACGATTATATTGAACAGAACCTTTTGATGACTGAAAAATCAGAACTGAGTTTAGATGTCTAATTGAGAAATTATTTCTTAATTTTCTAGTACATACTGTATCCTTTAATTTTCTTTCAACCATCCCATCGATTCTTTTTTTTCTCATTTCCTCACTCCTCTTTTCAACAGCTGCTAATTTCCCACACGGTATACAAGGATACTTCTCTGGCATGCACACAGGACAAGTTATCGATCTTTGAAGATCTTCGCAGGAACTTTGGAAGACATCAAGAATACGAGAGTCCACTTCGCGACATTTATACAATAAAGCCTGATCACATTCTCCAGCGCCGAAAATAAATGTTGAAGGATCCTGTGCGATTGGTGCGTCAAATTCTGTGACAATCATCTGTCCAAGACCAGAGATTCTAACAAAGATATCCAGATTGCCCGACAAGTTATCATTATAAATCAATGGCACTTGACCATCAAACTCTTTGGACGTTGTAATGCTACTTTTCCAGTCCTGTATCATCTCTATTCGCAAAGCCGCATATTGGCCGGACAAATCCAGCTCGCCAGTTCCTACTAAGACATCCGGTTTGATGGCGTCTGGCATCTGCTTCTTCACCGTGAGTTTAAGAATCATTTTTGCAGCGCGGCTCATAGCCGTCTCAAAATCGATAGCGAACAGTACCGATTTTCCAACATTGAACACTTCAGTTTCATTAATGAAACTGCCTACCTGCGGTTGGAAAAGGGGATCTACCGGAGTGATCACTAGATCATTCTCATCTATGAAGTCGAGGAATCCAAAATAGACGCTGGTAGGTACGAAAAACATCTGATTCAACTTGGTTAGGCGGTCGCCTGATGCCTGTTTAATGTATAATTCCAACAAAAGTAGGTAATGCTCCTTGCATACACTCGGCGGAGCTTCCTCGTACGCGAGCGTTTTGCTCTTTCCGGTTAACATTGTTGATTAAATATTTTTCAATGATATTACATAAGTAAGTTGCTCTTGTTGAACGATGGTTGGTTGGTTGGTTAATTTCAACTTGATTGCATAATAAATTTTTCCATTAATTGAACTATCTTTGAAATTAAATACTGTAATGCTAATACGTGGAAATTTTACTGGAGATAAATTTCAAATAGTGAAAAAATTTTGAAGCATGATCGAGAGATTATTGACAATGTTGACAGCTACGCTTGCCACTGACGTGCCAATGACTTGACACTGTTTCGTTTATCAAAGTTCAAGCTTCAAATAGATCTTTTAAATTAAATGATTGACAGAAGAACGAACAAAAAAATAAGCATGTTTATGATACAATTGATTTAATTAATAATTTATTACTGTTTACTGCACAGATAGTTCGTGGCTTTAGAAGAATGACGTAACTTTAGTGGAATTTAAAATAAATATTAGGGTTACGTTTTGTATATTTTTAGAACTCTCGAGCTACGTATGCTATGTTTTGAAAGATTTTAACTACTACTTTTAATTCAGTATAGTTTCTATTTATTCATGCAAAATCTTTATGTGGATACTTAATTAATTTCTTCAAATTTTAAATAAGGTCTCTCAAAGATGTCTTATATTTTAAATATATTATTATACATATTTGATTACGTTTTCAATTAATAAAATTACAATTAATAAAATCGTTGTTGACGAAAATGTAGAACAGAATACGAGCAATAGAGTTATAATTTTTACATGGTTTTTCTGACACAGCAGCAAAACTGTTGCATGCGCTCTTATCATATTAGTGGTATGATATTCCGGATATTTAATTTCAGACATGGTTGGCGTTCTCGTGTGAAACCTCTAATTTGTGGATCATTTTGACCGTCTTCATCGTTTACACACAAGTTAAGGCCTGCCTTTTTCGTGACCTTGCCTACGATGTCCATCCGACCAATTATTTTTACGATCAATGTTCGATTGGACAAAATTGCGGTCCCGCCATCGCCCTACTAAGTGAAGACAAATTAACATTCTAGACGTCTACGAAGTTGAACTAAAGTACGTAATTGGCCTATTCTGTGACCTTAAATAATCGAAATTAGAACATTTGGTCATGAGTTTCTGACAAAGTTAGTTCAATTACAAAGCGTTTCATTATGTGAAACATTCCAGAATAATTTTCTATTGAATATGTATATAAGAATGTTTTTTTTTTTGCACCTAGGTAATACTATAACTATGCGAGTTTCTTCAAGGAGAATTATATCTAATCAGCACTACGCGCTCGTTCTGAACGGTTTGTATATGGACGTTGATTATACAATATTTATATTGACGGTAATAGCAAGAATCGTGTATCCCACGCGCTCGTGTTGCACACGCGATAATGAACGCGCGCGGCACACATCGTTGACGTCGTAACGGATAGCAGTGCGTCATAACGGCCAGCGTGACATAGGCTCCCCGAATTTCATCATGCGCCGGGTGCATTCAAATCGAGAAGTCAGCGGGCCACGTGCAGGCCAGACTTATTGTTAGACGTCTTCACGCGCCCGCCATTTCTGGCGCGTCACACGATACGGATTTAGGTGAGGGACGATGTGGAAGCTACAAGTTCACTTTTTTTTTTTTTTTTTTT